CTCGTGAGCTACGGTCATGCTGCGGAAATGGGAAGCCCCGGCCGCTTATCTCTCGGGCCCTTTGGAACGCTTGTGGGAAAGCTGCGGAAAGTAAGAATCGCAGTGACAGGTCGTGTCGAGGGGGTGTGTGGTAGCAGCCGATGGCTGCGAGCAGATGCGAAACCAAGGCAACCTTTCCTCGCTGTGTCTCCCTGGCTGCGAGGATCTGAAGTGTAGAGACTTCTTGTCCCCAGAGTTTCAAAAGAAGCTTAAACTTATTTTCATGCCCACATAAGTGATAAGCAAAGTTCACATAACCGAATTATTCACTTGTAAGTATGTCGGCTGGTAGGGGGTCTGTACTTAAAATAAGCTTTGCTCCTTTGGATGAGCTTTTGAAGTTGCTTGCTGCTGCTGTGATGGAAATTACACCAGACCGTGCCTTGAGACTTGAATGAGGGCGTTCAAGACCAGTAGCTTTTATGATCTGTGGCCTTACTGCTTTTGAAAGTGGCCGTCTTACACTTTCTGATCTTTCAGCTTCTGTATTACATGAAACACTGGTCCATGATTCTTCAGAATAAGAGTCTATTTAAACTGTATGCTTTTTGTAAATAACTTGCACTGACTATCCATTTGCTGTCATGAATCAGTAGAGCAGGTAATAAGCCAAACGTGTAATGAAGGCATAGTTGCTATAAATGTCTTTTTCCTTCGTTCTTAAGTGTGTTGTTCCTTTCAGACTAGCCAAATCTTCCACCTAACACATAACTATCACTCTTATTTCCGTACTGCTTCTGTTGTAGTAGTAAAACATTCTGTGGACATTCTTTTATAGGATCATAGAAGTGGTGTTCGGAAATGACCTCAGGAGGTCACATAGTCCAGCCTCATGCATGAAGCAAGACTCTTGCAAATGCTAGATCAGCTCAGCTCTACCTTTGTTTAAGCAAGTCCTGAAAACATCCAAGCATGGACGTATCCGTCACTTCCCTGGGTGACCTGTTACAGTGCTGCACTACCCTCTTAAGGAATTTTTTTTTTTCCTTCAGATACAGGCTAAGACTTTCAAGCTGCAGTTTGTAGTTTTTCACAACATCCCTGAAAAAATATTCCTATGTTTGAATTATACTTGTTTTAAGCTAGGATTGTGGCAGAAAGATTTTTTTTTTTTCCTCTAAAGTCTAGTAAACCAGGTTGCCTACCAACCTGAGACATTAATAGAGTGATCTTTTTGAGATGTCTCTCTATTTGTTTTCCTTGTATAATGTGTATGGAATGTTTATCTTATTATCCTGAGAGTTTACCATTTTGTACATGTGAAGTGAGGTGCCTAGGTGATGTAAATCTACCAGCAGTGGCTAGCTGAAGATTTTAGGATAACCTCAACAGGTGTATTATTGCAAAAATCTCTTTCTGAAATTAGCCACCTTTTATATTACTCTACCTCGTGCAGCCAATTTATGTGCTAAGTGAGACATAGACATATGGAGAAGTCTAAATCACTCTTTACTTGTAATTTTCTCTATGTAGTCTGCAACTGAATGTAGTCTGGTCTCTGGTGAGGAGAAACAATACATAATCAGATGATGGCTATATCACAATATTTGCCTAAGTGGGTAAAACTAAGCTTCCCTGGACAACTTTAACTTTTTGCGTGTTCTTGCTGAGTTTTTACAGTTGTCAGTATTGATTATGATGTCAGTAATAATATTGAATTTTCTCCCACCCTGAGAATTTAGATCCCCAGAATGGATCTCAAAGTGGTACTATTTGTCTGTTGTAATCTTTGTGGATCTCCTGTTCTCTCTGTCAGTGAGATGAGATGTGCTGCTAGCTCTGTGCCCCACTAACAGCATCACAAGAATGATGAGACTTGTGTTTTTCCCCTTTCCTCCAAGCTGTCTACTTACCTTCTTGGACAAACTCAGTTTGGCTGCTTTTCCTGTTTCTGGTTGAAGTATCATCAGAAACAGAACGTGATCTGTGCAAACTTCAATAGTAACTCTTGCCTGAGCATTAAGAATCCTTACTCAGGTTAAAAAAATACTCATGGCTCCAAAGGGGACTTGCTGTTGTATGGGAAATTGTTTATCAAAGATGCTGATCTGCAGTAATGCATATAATTCATATGCAAAATTGAAGCATTCAAGTAAATCTCCTCCTCCAATGAAAAATAATGTATCTAAGGCCATGGTTCTGTGACCAGCTGAGGCAGTTCTAATTCCTTGCTGCTGGAAGGAGCGTTGTCCTAGCTGTGTTACTAGTTAAATCTTTTTTTGAGCTTATTAACGTGGCAGGAAACTGTCCAACTTTTTGCCAGACTAGTTTTCTGCTGTGTTAGTGAGTGAAGTAGCTTGCAGAATTATGACAAGCTTGCATTACCCAGAGGTAAGCAGCAGGTCTGTATGGCTTAGGGCGGAGGAAAGAGGAGTAGTAAGGTGTGTCTTCACTTAATATGTCAGTTTAATAGCTCACAGCTGCCTACCTCTCATGGAACTGCATCCTGACTTGCACATGGATAACCACAGTAGATCAGTAAAACATAGCACCTGACTGAAGTACCTGAGCTGCGGATACATGTGAACAATTCCATCTTTTTTCTTTTTTTTTTTTCCCTCCAGAATTTCTTGGTTTGGCTAAATTTGAGTGAATTTTCATAGGGAGGAAAAGCTCTCCTGTTGATTCATGGTGAGAAAATAGATGGCTTACTGCTGAAAGGGAAAGGTCTTGTTCCTTAAAGCGTTCACCTTCCTTTTGCTATCTGATTGTATGGTAAGACAGTTCAACTTGCTATACTGCTAAAAACTCCTCCTAACAATTTTTTTGGGGTGAGTCTTTTGCTGTTTTAGCTAGTTTAATGCGTGTACTGTGCAAGCAAATAACTGCCAAAATCAGCATAAGATAAACAGTTGAAGCATCTTTGGACTGTGGGACTAAAATAAGGGAAGGGATTTTGAGATTAAGAGGGAAGGGTGAGAGACCTCTCCCCTTCTGTGGCAGCAGGCTACTCCAACTGTAATTAATGCATATAGACCAAACTAGGCTGAAACCAGAGCAGATTGAACTTCAGGTTCTTGCTCAAGAGTTGCTAGAGTTATTGATAAACTTTTAAAAGAAAGTAAATGTGGGTATCCATGCCTTCTCTTTGGAAGGAGCTTCTGTTCAAACTTAAAATAGTGTATTGGTCTGAATACCTTGTTTAAATCCTCATACTGCAGTTTTCAGTTGCTACATAGATAAAATTGTGATGCAGCTTAATTATAGGGAGGAGTACTCATCCATACTTTTATTCATGTTCTTTTAAGACTTTTATTACACAGAAGTGGTGGCGATGACTAATATGGCTCTAACTTGGTACATTAAACTAAAAGGCTGGCAACTGTGATAATTGTATTATTCTTGTGCATGATTTCTTGCTGTCTTGTAGTTTGAATGGGTATGTTAGCCTTAAAGTGGTTTTGTCACATGGTCACTGTTTTTGTGATGGTTAGATAGTGTTTTACTTATGATCTCAGTGCATACAGTTCATTACACAAGATTCTGCATTTCTAGATTTATAATTACACTAATCTTACATTTTCAGCGTTTCTTTACCTTGTTCACACAAATCTATTTTTATATATCCATCAGAATCAAAGTGCTTTAATGTAACTGCTGATTATCTCCACTCTTTCAGTCTGGAATCGAGCTGTTTGTGAACAGGCTTGACTCCGTAGAGTCTGTCCTTCCCTACGAATATACTGCGTAAGTGTATTATACTGTTTATGTCGTTTTAGTTGACAGTTCTTCCAAAAAGATGGATTTGATTTACCTTAGAGCATTATCTACATCTTGTTACAGCAGTTTCCCATTGAGAAGTGTCTATTTATTTTGCTAACATAAATTTCCAAATACAGATTTTTCACTGAGTGGATGGATGCATACATTGCTTTCTTCTTCATGGTTGTCTTTGTGCTTATTGTAGAAGTAGTGCATGGATTCATAGGTCCTCCTGTACGTCGAAGCACTGCTTTAGAGTAACTTAAGGTTAAAGCGTGTGTGTCTATATATGTAGTACTTACTCTTCTGCATTAGTTGTCATTTTATAGATCAAAGTATTACTGCTGTCTTAAGTAGCCTATAGCCATATGAGTTAAAGTGGTAATGAAGAGTGAACTTCCCATCAATTATCTTAATGAGGTGTTAAATGTTTTCTTGATACACATCATGGGAGTGCCCAAAATGTGCCTGGTACAACTATGTAAAGTTGTTGCTTCAAAGAGTATTTTGACTGTGAGTATTGAAGAGATTAAGCACTAGTTATGTCTATGTTTTAATGAACACAAATGTGCTATGCTTGAAATTAGGTTGTAAAAACTTGAAAGATGTGCTTTTAAATGTGTTGGTGAATAAAACTGCAATAACCTGTTTGTTTAATAGCTGTCGTTGTAAAAGAGCTGTCTGTATGCGTGCGAGGTGTTTTTTGGTTGTTTTTTTATTATTATTATTTTATTTTATTATTCCTTCCCCTCCCCCCCACCTCCAGAATCTAGCCTGCATGCTTTTCTCTTATGACTATCATGAAACTGTATGAGAAAGTTTAATTTCTGGCTAAAATTCCTGTGAAAATAGGAAACTTCTAATTACTTAAGGAAACTTTTATGATACCATGTTTCATACAAACTGAGTTCTGAAATAGCTGATGAAGAGATTTGAGTGTTGGAGGGATTTTTTCCTTTTTTTTTTTTTAAATAGGACTGATTTTCAAACCTTGCTTTGCATGTTCAAGGAAGAAACTGTTTTCTAGAAGGGAAGCTGTGTAGCTCCTTCTCTTGTGATGAAAGTGGTGATTTGGGAACACTGTTTGAGGTCTAATATTTGTAGCTGAGAATATTTTATTAACTTTTATGTCTTTTCTCTAATTCAGGTTTGATTTTTGTCAAGCGGAGGGAAAGAAGCGTCCGTCTGAAAACCTTGGCCAAGTATTGTTTGGAGAGAGGATAGAACCGTCTCCTTACAGGGTGTGTTCTCTGATGAGAGGTGTTTGGAAATACGTGTATTTGAATGTAACCAAAGGAGATCAGAATCTTGAAGGTCGTCTTCACAAGGGCTTTATCTCAAAGAGCTTCAAAATCTGAAATTCTGCCTAATAGAAATCTGTCAGTTTAACCTGATTGTAACCGTGCACTTTGCATCATGAATCTGCAGCCTGAAATGCTGTGGAGATTGTCTTCTGTCTTTGGAATCTGCCAAAACCTGATTCTTGCTCCTCAGCTGTCCCCTTTTTAGAAGAAATTGAGTACTCTTATTTCTTGAACCAGATCTGAAAATACTGCAGTTGTAAAATGGAAGAATTAGAAATGTTGTTATCTGGCTTATCTTTTCCGGTGACAGAAGCTCTTGCCTTCTCTGATACGTGTAGTAGGAAAGTTACTAATTGAATCTGCCTGGAACAGCATTGCTACTATGAGGTCAAATGACTTGTCTGGTAAATGATTGCAGAAAACAGGTTTTAATCAGTAACAAGGAGCTCTTAGTGTAGGGCTTCTACCATGATCACAGAAGGATTTTATAGCACACACTAATACTAAAACCTCCTCTGGAGGGTTGATACACGTAGTCTTGGTAATTTATTAGGTGTTTTTATTTTATCGGTATCGGCAATTACAAATGTATAGGGGAAAGCTGTTAAATGCTGAAATTACACAAAGTTTGTTACAACCTTTTTGCTCATGTCTTTCGTTTTTCTTAGTTCACATTCAACAAGGAGGAGACGTGTAAATCTGTTTGTACAAAAACGTATGATACCACAAAGCCAGAAGATAAACAGAAGTTAGACTTTTTGAAAAAAAGTATGCTACTGAATTATCAACATCATTGGTAAGTTGATACCAAAATTCATAGATTGGTTTGTCTAGTATGTTGGTGATAATTTAGTTTGTCATTTTCTATTTGCAAATTAGTACAGCCTGAACACTAGGTATTTGCGCTGTTACCCTTCTGTTCTTGCAAAAGATGTTATATTGTTTGTTGTCTTCACAAAAAATTTCCTTCACTTGAAGGATAAGCACCAGGTATAAATGGAAACAAGTCTGTTTCCAAACACAGTTTTGTGGGTTTTGTGCTGCCTCTGTTTACTGTAAAATACAGCTTTTTTTTTTTTTGCCTGTAAATGGAGAAGTTAATCCTGCCTTAGCTTGAGAAGTCTTAAGAGATCTTCATTTTATTGCTATATCGTCTTTGTTTTCCTCGAGAGCCTTTGCACTGCCCTTCAAACGTTGTGTCCAGGAGATAGGATCAGCAGTACAGAAAGAGTTTTATGTGAAGTTTGTTTCCCTTATAGGATATGGAAGTGAAAGGTGGCCATTGAAAATTAATTAATGAAATAATTTTGAGGAACGCATAAACACTTGATCCTTTCCTGTTCTCTGAGTCCCTCAGTAACCATCTGAGTTGTCTTAGAGCGTGCTGGGGCTCTGCTTCTGCTTGGACGTTGAGGTCCTCTTCCGATGTGCGTTAGGGGTGAGGCGAGGCTGAATGTGTATGCTGAATCTCGTGCTGATTTTCAGTTAGGATGTAGCTGTGCTCTGCACCCACGTCCAAGAGCTGGGAAATGTTTATCAGAAGGCTCCAGCTTGATCTTAGAAATACCCAGCCATGCTATCAGTGTTTGTATGGTGCTTTGTATGTTGGTATGCTGTGCTAACAGCAGCCTTTGGGTGCAAGGGTAGAAGGAACAACTTGGATATGAAGTTGTCAAGAGTTCCTGTGGTGTGTCTTTACAAGTAATACATGAGCATGTTTAACGCATGTTGCACATATGACGCCAAATATGTGCTGCCTCCTTCCCAGAAATGAATGTTTCAGTCTTCATCTAATTAGAGTAAAACTTTCTGGATGTATTAGTAAAAATGCAGGTGAAATGTTGAATGTTGCCACTGTTGTTAAATGTTATTCTGTAATGTCACATTCCATTTCTTCAGTTTTGAAGCAGCCACTCACGCTGGAAAGGCGACAAGTGCGTTTTCTACTGCTCTTGGGAACCAATATAGGATATCCTTTTTGAGGGATAAACTTAGAGCTCACTGACACAGATCTTTCTGGGAACCTCTTGAAAATTACCATGGCAGTTGATAAATTAGGTCAGAAGGGTTCACAGGAAGTAGCTATATGTTCCTGAAAGTGAACCAGGAAGTAATAAAGAAACCCTGAAAGGTACAGCTACTTTTGCAGGGATTTGAAGCGTATGGGCCTAATGCTGAAATAAGTAGAGCTTTAAACATGCTGGATTTGGTTATATTCCTATTAAATACCGTATATATTAATAATATTTACACCACTTTGAATTCACTGATGCATGTTGGTCTGGCTAAAAGCTTCAGCTTTAAAAGCTTGTGGATGTTTTGGGTATAAATGAAAAAGTTTCCCACGGCTCTGATCCTGTTGCTCTTTGAAAGAAAATAATTATTTTTTTCTAGGAAAGCCCAAAACTTAAGCTGACAAACTGAAACAGAACTGTGTAAAACTGATCACAGGGAAAAGTACTTTGGAGTGATTTTTTTTCCCCTCAGATGAAATTGTTCTACAAATATACTTAGGGTGTTTAAGTATACTTTTTAGCCTGTACAGCTGACTCGATAGGACTGTTCAGATTTTAATAAGATGTAGTTATGTTTTTCAGTGTGAAAACTTCCCTTTAAGTTTAGGGTACTTATTGTATTCTTAGTTGTTTTAATAGCACTTCTACTATTTATGGTTTTTGCTAGGCCCACTGCCCTAAAGCTTTAGAACCAGTGGCATGAAGAATCCCTGTTTATGTCTGTATGGTAAGGATAGTCCTCCTCAGCCACAGCTTCACAAAGTGGAAGTGGCTGGATTTTGTGATGAACGATGCATGGTCCAGGAGTATGGTACAGGGGTATGTTGTACAGGGATCAGCAAGGTAGCATTAAGTGAGGATTTAATAGAGGTTTATTATCCAGCTTCAGTTTATCATAAAATTCCTGGGCAACACAGATGGTGCAAAGTACTTTTAAGGTTTTAAAAGCCACTTAATAAGATTAGGAATTGACATACTGAATTGGACTCAACAGCTACACTGATATCTTGGCTGACAATGTTCATCACCAGATGTTCTTGAGAGATGTATAAGAACACTGTTGTATAGCATATTTGCCCCACATGTATAATCTCTTAAAGTAATTTTGAATTTGAAGATTAACTGTGAAAAACGATTTGCTGCTTAAACTATCAATTTGTTCCAGCACAGCTGCTTGAAGGCAGCTCAGTATGTCTTTGCTGCAGAAGATGGAAGGCAAAGCCTTTACTCCAACCAAACTCATTTGCAATAGGTTAATGCTTCACCTGATTTTGATTATGAAATTAAAATACTAACAAAAGCAAGAGGTATTGCTACATAAATTATGGAGGTAAAATTCCATATACGGTCCAAGTGTATGAATCTGCATCTGGAATAGCTCCGTAGCAGCATGGTGAAGTGGGTAAGATTTGGTTGGTGCTGCTGCTACCCCTGACTGTTACAGTCTTTGGAAACTCGTGAGAACCTGGAAACTGTGTTTTTGGCGGGCTTGTCTTCACCTCTTTCACTGTGTCAACATGAGCCAACCAGTCTTTTTACCCTCATCCGTTGATGTGCTTTAAAAAGTAGTGCTACTTTAGAGACTGTTACAATACACAATAGATTAAATAATGCTTTATAAGTCATAACTCCTGTGTTTAATTAGTTATTTAAAAGTACCTAATGAGGTATTATTAGGTATCTGTTAACATTAATAGCCTAGTGGTTATACTGATGAGACATTTCATTGTAAAGGATATTCAGTAGCTTGATAAGTTTTACAAAAAAACATGTATTCTTAACTTTCAGTGGGATGTCCTTTTTTTGTCCAGTGATGTGCAAAAAGTAGCAGTCGTCTCATGTCTTTGCATGTGAAGTTTATTAATAGACCTTTAAAAACATACCTTGGAGCAATTAATGTTGCCCTAAGGGCAGCTACTGAATTTCAAGTCATCTTTGAATTACTTTCTTTTGGGATTTGTCTTTCAGCTAGTTAAAACACTTCATAACATAAAGAAACAAGTTTGGGGTTTTTTAGTAGTTCCTTTTACAAGGAGATGAAGGAAAGGCAATGAGGAAGCCGGAATATTTATAATATGTGTGTATAGGCATTTTTTTGTTGTTTTGTCTTAAACTTGAAATTAACAAGTGCATTTTAGCTGGCTTAATGGATTATTTTGGGCATTTTTAAAGACCAAATAATGAAATGTTAAATTGTTAGGACTTTGGAGTGGGAGAGTTTTATGTATTTGGCTATATTTGTAAGGGGACTTAAGAAACCAGTCCAGTGAATAGAATGTTTTGGTGGTCACAGAGTAAGCCTCCTATTTCAAGCCACCTCCTGAAGAAAGAGATTGATATTTTTTAAATATTTTTTTTCCTAAAAAAGATAAAGTTTCAGTTGAAGAGCTACATGCTTGTATCTCATTTGGAAATCGGATTGGCAGTTGGTGCAATTTCATGGGTTAAGATCTGAAAGAAGCATTATTCTTGTAGTTATTCTTCCAATAATGAATGTAGTAATGTTAGTTTAATATTAATCTGGTTTTGTTTCCATACACTATGTATTTGAAAGAATGTGAAATGTTACTCTGCCATTTACAGGATTGTGGACAACATGCCTGTGACCTGGTGTTATGATGTTGAAGACGGCCAGAGGTTCTGCAATCCTGGTTTTCCTATTGGCTGTTATATTACAGAAGATGGCCGTGCAAAAGATGCCTGTGTTATTAATGTATGTTTACGCAATTTAATTTTTTTTAATATCCCCTTTTTACTAATTTCAAGACTGGCATTTCTCCTATGTCATGTTTTTGTGGTGAGTCCTCACTGTCTTAAGAACCCTTGTTGCCTGAAACTAGGTAAGTGTTTTGATATCTCTGCAAGTACCACAATTTTTAAGTCTGGTCTAAGCCTAAGAACTTTCTCTTCTGTTGCATAGTACAGAAGGGCTCTAAAAGATGGAGAGAGGAGATGAACATGCATAGTATTTAGTACATGTAAAGGGTGAAAGAGGAGAAACATTTAATTGCCTAAGCAGTCTAAACATTTGAAAGCTTGTATGTTTTTGTGGGATAGAAGTGTTTTCATGGAAGCAGGTTTGCATAGACATGTTTGTACCTCTGCATGGAAACTAATACTTCTTAAAGGATTGCTTTCCCTAAAACTGTGTGGGCTAATGGAAGAACACAGAACATAAGATTGCTGAGTGAACAAAGCTGCTCCTGTGAGAGACAGATCTATTGGATTAACTGGTGGAGGACCAGATAAATGTACCATAAGCATTATGGAGATGATAATGCAATAGAAAGTCCAGGATGTCTTCAGATTACCACAGACCTCGTCCATGGAGGGGTTGCTAAGAACCTGGAATAGGTTTCTGATTTTATCAAAATGGTTTGGTTTACTTAATGGATCATACCAAAGACGACAGTTTCTGTAGCTCTAATTTTGTTTCCTTGCCTCCATGATGAATTGATTTCAGAGGCTTCATATGAATGGATGCATTTATGATCAAATATGTAATCTGGCAATATTCTTTTAATCTTGTTTAAATACTTGTTTTTAATAAAAGGAAAATAACCTTTGAAGGAGTAACTGAAGGACTGCAGAAGAATACTTTTTGTATATATAACTATTCTTACAATTCAGATGCTTTGTAGAAAGGGATGGAGATAGAACCCTGAAGAAGTACTAACTGAACTTCAGAAGACATAGTGCTTGTAATTTAACGACCTCTTTAACTGACTAAATTCCAAGTTAATGTTTCCCTTCACCTGAAATTTGTATTCGACATTCTTGACTGCTGCTTGCAGTTCATCCCTGTGCGTCTGCGGTTTCAAATGTCAAGGTGGTTCTGTCACAGAGAGCAATTACTTGCATTGTTTGTCTTGGAAGGTTCTATTTAATTTGTGAAAAATGTACACGTTCGTTTAAAATAACTGATGTTTCTGAAACACTTCTGATATGAAAGTTGTCATAGTCATCTATTCAGTTTGCTACTTCAGTTAAATAAAATGGGACATCTTCAGTTACCAAAATATTTTAATAAATATTTTTATAAATACATTTTATCTCTAAATACGTTTTTCTACTTTTCAACTGTAGTAAGACAGTTCTTAGCTTTAACTATTCTAGTTTGTCTTTTTGATGCAAGACTTTAATGCAAAGAATTTACCATCTTTATATTCCTAGAATCCTGCATTCATCTCGTGAAACTTCTTGACAGAAAAACTGTACGCAGTCTAAAATTCTGTTATATAAACTTCTGCCTAAGGCTTTTAAATGTCTCTGTCTTTTTGATTGTTTAACATCATCTTTTATCATTGCAGTCAGAATTTCATGAAAAAGATACTTTTTATATCTTCAACCATGTTGACATAAAAATATATTACCATGTTGTGGAAAATGAAGCTCTGGGAGCAAGACTTGTGGCTGCCAAACTTGAACCAAAAAGGTTAGTACTCAGAAGTAACTCGTCATCAAACAGTGATCCATCCCAAGATGCTTGCCTTGATTTGGAGACCTGTTGCTAGTCAGAAAAGTTTTCAGATATGTGACCTGTAGATCAGCTTTCCTGTTGATGGATGTAGTTTAATGTAGGACAGTCTAGCATAATTTTGTTCTGAATTCGATAGATCTTTGTGCACTATTTCCTATTTGGTCCAAAAAAAGATAAAATCTGGAAGTTGTACGTGTTCAGTGAAGCAACCCCCATTTCCCTACTGGGGAACACTTCCTCTTGTGAGGAAATAGGCCACCAGTGCCTGATGCAGAAGCAATCGGAGTGCAACGTTTGATGTCTTCAGCAATCAGGATTTGAACAGAATGATTTCACAGATACACTCATCAGTTTTTCTGGTGCCTATGTGGCTTTTGCACAAATGATGTCTGTTTTGTTATTTCTTAGCATGTTGTCTTTCCTTTCTTTTGTATTCTTGGTGTAACTGTGCTTGTTGCATTGTTGGTCCAGCATCATGATGAAAGTGTTTTTTTCTGACAGAAGTTAGTAATTCTGTTGCTGTCGCTTTTCGAGTGTTTTGAAAGTTCTTAGCAGTACTCAGACTTCTTTTATTTTTGGTGCTCTGCTTTAGAGACTGTGCTCTCTGTAGTTTTCTTTTTAGAAGTGACAACTTTTGTTTAAAAAGTTCCAAGTATCAAAAAGTCTCATGCTTATGATACATTCCTTATGAGTTCTGAGATTTATGGGGCATTATGAACAATATTTATATTTGAAAGAACAATCTTGGATGAAACTGAGACTTCTGTAAGGTGAATGAATGCTTTCTGAAGAGTGTTGCCAGTGAAGCAGCTTTCATTCTGTGCTTTTTCTTCCCGCAGTTACAAGCATACTCATCCAGACAACCCTGATTGCTCAGGAGTACCTATGGATATAAGTAACAAGGCTAACGGAGAAGTCAAAATTGCTTACACATACTCAGTTTCTTTTCAAGTGAGTACTAAGCTTTCTGTGGTAGTTACCTGTGAAAATCCTGCATTAATACCCTGAATTATAAAGATGGATAACTAAAATTATCTCAGAATAGTAAATTTGTGGGTTTAAAACTATTTGAACTGGAATGTCAGAGATGGCTTGGGATTTGACCACACACTTTACAATTTTGCATACCACCCCACACCCACTGAATGTGAAATGCGTACGTGTTTTTTAAAAGAATCCCACTTTCCATATTTACCTCGGTTGTCTGATAGATTATTTTTCAATCCAAGCTCTTAAGTCTGTGAAATTGTGTATTTCAGCAAATTACTGTTGTAGGTAGGTTGAAGCTGATAATTTTTCTGCTCTCCTGCTGCAAAAGCTTTCTTCTCTCCCAGGTCTTCCTCCTGTGGAAATCTGCAAAAGAATAGGAAGCTGATATTCTTTGTTCCGCTATTCTCTATTTAAAATCAGTGGAGCAGTATATCAGGCAACTGCAGGGAGCAGTGATGCTTGAATGTGTTTCATTCTGGTGACAAGCAAGAGAGATTTATTTATTTTTAAATGGAGTTTGCTGGACGAACTGTTTCCCACTCTTCCCCAAACTGTTTCCCTATTAGTCTAAGACCTCAAAATGCAAGTGACTCACTAAAAAGAGTGCAGATTATAACTAATTGGATTTCTTGACTCTTTGGGTATGTATTGAGGGGATAGCTCACACATAGCAATAATTCTGTGATCCTTCTGGATATGAAGGAACCTACTCCTTACTACCTTTTTGTTATTGTTGTTATGGGCTTCAATCAAAGTCTTGTCAAGTGATAGATTAAAAAATAGCAATAAGGCAATTTTTATTTTTGTTTAATGTTTTTCTTGTTCTGATTGCAAGGTCAGTGGTGTCTTTCAAAATGATAGACCACTGTTATATCAAGGCTGCTCATAGGTCTGTCTTAGTTCTAGACTTGTAGCCTGCTGCAGGATTCAGTTCAGCTTTGGTGAGATGGACAGTAAAGAGTTGATCCTTAAAGTTAGTTGGAGGGTAGTGTTGAGTTTGGGTGTGGGATCAACTGTTATAAAAAGTACGCAGTAAAATGCTGGTCTTACAGTATCGTTACATTGCCACAGTTTCTCAGGCATGAACCCCTTTTATCTCTTACAAGCTGTTAGAGCAGTGTTTGCAGAATTACCGTGATCGTTCTTTAGCAGCGTACTGGATTACGTGGTGAAGTTCAAAATACAATAAATAGTGTAAGAAAAATATTCAGAAGGTGTTATATTATTTATGACTTAATAATTATTATTTTGAGAAATTGTATCAGTTATAATGCTGAAATTAATTTTTAGACTGAAAAACAAGTACTTCTGGAAACCTGCGAGAAGTTAATAATTGAGAATGAGCATAGCTTCATGCCATTGTATTGTTTCCCTTTAAAAAAATTACATGCCCAGCTGTGTATGTGTTACTGTCCTGTGCACAATGTTATGTCACTTGGAGATCATCTTCTGAGATTCGATTGGATTGGCAGATCAGGTCATCTCAGGAAGACAGAAAAAAGGCAGTGTAGGTATGAGGAAAAATGCAGTTCTAGCCTAGAGTTGTTGATACTGGGTTAGAAACTTGCTTGCTTCGAGACCTAGTTTTATTACCTCAATGAACTAGATACTGGATCTCTTGGCTATATTTTTAACCTGCTGGTTTTTATGTTTTCAAAAACTGGCTTTACTGAAAAGCGTTCTTTCTCTTTTGTGTTAAAAATTACTGAAATAACATCCTATCAGAAAGATACATTATTAATTGATACTGGTGTTTATGGTTTGTGTAATAGCAATCTTCAGATTGGTCAACACTGTTTATTCCTTTTTTCATGTTTACTCTGCAAAATAAAACAAAAATATGCTCTTTTTGAAGCGTTTCTGATCAATGAACATGCAGTCTGAATAAGTATAATCTGTTGAAATGCCTGAAGGAATAATTTGCTTCCCTTTACTAAGGTAGTATTGTCTCCCCATCTGTCTTGCAGCATAAGCTGAATGTAACTGGATTGGTAGTTGGTACTGAAATGAGGTTTTATGAAAGCAAAGGATAATTTGGACGGAGTACTGTCTGGAAAGTGGACTATTATGCTGGGGAATAGCAGAGTTTAGTTTCTCAGTGTCTGTGGTGTTGACTTAAATATGCTAAAAAGACATGTTCTTTTATTATTCTGCTAGTCATTTGAATTCAAGATTAATTAATTCTTGAAGGGAGAAAGCACAATTAAATTAATTTGATAGGTCCTTATGTCTTAAGAAGACATGGGTGCTCAATACTATTCAGAAAATATTTTGGTTTAGATTCTGTGGTCTAATCTTGGGTTTGTTTTAGGTAGCTCTTATTAAACTGTTCCCTTTAAGGCATGCAACACGAAATTTCCAATTTGACATGAGATTGAAGATTACTTTGCCTGAACATCAACTTGTAAATTTACAAGCTGGATCCTGACTGTATCTCAAACTGACATGTTTACTCTTTCAGGAAGAAAAAAATATAAGGTGGGCATCAAGATGGGATTATATTTTGGAATCCATGCCTCACACTAACATTCAGTGGTTTAGGTGAGAACAAAGTTTTGTCTTCAAGTGTACTGTATTGAAGTGTTTACATTGCAATTTGAATGATGACTTTTTGTTTTGTTTTAAATTCAGTATTATGAATTCCTTGGTGATTGTCCTCTTTCTGTCTGGAATGGTAGCTATGATTATGTTGAGGACACTGCATAAAGACATTGCGAGATACAATCAGATGGATTCCACTGTAAGTCTAAAATGTACCTCATAAAATTTATTTGAATGTAATTTTTTCAGCTAAATGTATTTCTGTAACAGGCCATTTAAATGACAATCTGCTGTATTAAAATAGGTGTATTTCCTTTACAGGAAGATGCTCAAGAAGAATTTGGCTGGAAGCTGGTTCATGGTGATATTTTCAGGCCCCCAAGAAAAGGAATGCTGTTGTCCGTTTTTCTAGGCTCTGGCACACAGATCTTAATAATGACTTTTGTTACCCTGTGTAAGTAATAAGGTGGGGAGGAGCTGGCTGAGCACAAATCATTTTTCACTGCTAATTGCATGGTACTAGTAAAAATAGCAATATAGTTTTTGTCTACAAGTTTCTTAAAAGTCTTAAGGTTAGAAACAGCTGAGTTGATACAGTAGACATGCAACTTAGTATACATAGATTTTAGGATAACTGATGCACTGGCTTTAAGTCAAATGTATAGTTACTTCCTAAAAATTGTGCACCTCTGCTTCACAGTTTTTGCTTGCCTGGGATTTCTGTCACCGGCTAACCGCGGCGCTCTAATGACCTGTGCTGTAGTTTTGTGGGTGCTACTTGGAACTCCAGCTGGTTATGTTGCTGCCAGATTCTACAAATGTAAGTAAAATTTACTTAAAATGACAAGGCTTAAGTTCGTTAAAGTAAATTATCATCACAGAACTGAGTTTTATTTTGCGACACTGTTTGTAGTATCCCTCAGGGCAAGTTGAAGAAATGTGCTTACCTTAACAACAGAAAGCACATACAAAATACTGACATGGTTACACTGGTTTTGATGTGATCACACCTAAAGACCCTGAATTGCTCTTGCTACTAGGTATTTATGGAATTGGCAAGCACATTACGTTTTACTAGTACTAACCTCATTACATCAGACAGTTTTGTCCTTCTGTTTCCTACAGTTTGAGGGGCGCAGTGTTAACTTGCATTTAGTTTTAGTCATTGATGTCCTGGTAACATTTTATTTTTATTTTTTTCCCCAAATCATGAACCTCTGTTCTTGCATGTCTGAGATTTTTCACCTCTTTTCAGCTAGTTCCTAGGTGTTTGGAAGAATGGTGCTTATCAGACTGAGGCAGAGGCGCAGGAGGAAGGATTATTAGGTGTTCTTTAGTTGTAGAAATCAACACAGTGGTGTTTGGGTACCTGACAGTAGTTAGTTGATACTGTTTTCCTTCACTGATCCCAGCTAGCTATTGTTTCAAGGCCTGCCTATCAACCTCAAATGGTTTACCCCTGTACCCTCTGACTTATTTTAAGGTGAAGCATGCCATTCCGCATACAGCTTGTTTTAATTACCTTACTTAAGGTAAAAGACTCTTTATGACTGAGTGAGCTGGATCTTTTGGACTATTTTACCCTGAACCTACAGGGCTAGGGGCAGAGTTTACTTCTGAACTTCAGCCTGGCAGTAAGCATTGGAGTTCTTTCTTCTAATAATTTTCTAATTTTCATGTGAGGAAAACTACTGGGCAAGACGGGCTTGTGTTTCATAAGGAGTTTTTCCACAATGATAGTGATGTGATAGTGAATTATTCGTTTTCCTAATCTTCAAGCTAATTAGACTTAAATGAAAGGAGACTTTAGGGTTAAGAACATAATTGAGGACAGAATTATTCTTTATATCATGCTGTATATTATGTGTTTTGAAAGATGTTTTGAAGTGTATTGATGGTAAATTGAATCCTGTGTCTTTGGTGGAGAGGTAGCTAGTAATAATAAATAATTGGCCAGGGACATGAAGGGTGACAAGAAAAGCTTCTATAGGTATGTCAGTGATAAAAGGAGGACTAGGGAAAATGTGGGCCCTCTCTGGAAGAAAATGGGACACCTGGTTACCCAGGATATGGAGAAGACTGAGGTACTCAGTGACTTCTTTGCCTCAGTCTTCACTGGCAAGTGCTCTAACCGCACAGCCCAAGTCACAGAAAGCAAAGGCAGGGACTGGGAGAATGAGTAGCCACCCACTGTAGGAGAAGATCAGGTTCGAGACCATCTAAGGAACCTGAAGTTGCACAAGTCCAGAGGACCTGATGAGATGCATCCGTGAGTCCTGAGGAAACTGACAGATGAAGTTGCTAAATCGTTATCCATCCTATTTGAGCAGTCATGGCAGTCCGGTGAAGTTCCCACTGACTGGAAAAGGGGAAACGCAGCCCCCATTTTTAAAAAGGGGAAAAGGAAGACCCAGGGAGCTACAGGCCAGTCAGTCTCACCTCTGTGCCTGGCAAGGTCATGGAGCAGATCCTCCTGGAAACTATGCTAAGGCACACAGGAAATAGAGGTGATTGGTGACAGCCATCTTGGCTGCACTAAGGGCAAACCATGCCTGACAAATTTGGTGGCCTTCTACGGTGGCGTTACAGTGTTGGTGGATAAGAGAAGAGCACCTGATGTCATCTACCTGGACTTGTCCAAAGCATTTGACACTGTCCCACATGACATTCTTGTCTCTAAGTTGGAGAGACATGGATTTGACAAATAGACTACTCAGTGGGTAAGGAGCTGGCTGGATGGTCGCACTCAAAGGGTTGCAGTCAATGGTTTGATGTGCAAGTGGAGACCAGGGACAAGCACAAGTACAGGCTGTGTGGAGAATGGATTGAGAGCAGCCCTGAGGAGAAGGGCTTGGGGATGTTGGTTGATGAGAAGGTCGACATGAGCTGGCAACATGTGCTTGCAGCCCAGAAAGCCAACCGTATCCTGGGCTGTATCAAAAGAAGCGTGGCCAGCAGGTCAAGGGAGGTGATTCTGCCTCTCTACTCTGCTCTTGTGAGACCTCACCTGGAATACTGCAGCCAGCTCTGGGATGCCCAACTGAAGAAGTACATGGAGCTGTTGCAGTGGGTCCAGAGGAGGGCTATGAAGATGATCAGAGGGCTGGAGCACCTCTCCTCTGAAGACAGGCTGAGAGAGTTGGGGCTGTTCAGCCTGGAGAAGAGAAGGCTCCACGTACACCTTCTAGCAGCCTTCCAGTACCTAAAGGGGTCCTACAAGAAAGCTGGAGAGAGACTTTTTACAAGGGCATGTAGTGATAGGATGAGGGGCAATGGATTTAAACTGAAAGAGGGGAGATTTAGATAAGATATAAGGAAGAAATTTTTTACAATGAGAATGGTGATGCCATGGTGCAGGTTGCCTAGAGAAGTTGTGGATGCCCCATCCCTGGAAGTGTTCAGGGCTGGGTTGGATGAGGCTTTGAGCAACCTGATCTACTGGCAGGTGTCCCTACTCATGGCACCGGGGTTGGAACTAGGTGATCTTTAAACTAGATGATCTTTAAGGTCCCTTCCAACCCAAACCATTCTATGATTCTATGAGTAATTAGATTTCGTATTATACTTACTGAGAGTCATTTAGCTGATGCTTGGATATTGTCCTTAACTACTAAGACAGTGAGTGACTGATCTAGAGGTGTTCTTGTTATAACACAAGGTGGTCCATACCCTGTATAGAGCATGTAAACATGAATGCTTCTCATTGCAGTATACAAATAAAGTAATGTGAGACATAAACCAAAATGCAACTGCAATGCATATCCTGTTTTAAGTGTTTTGGTTTTTTTTTTCCACATTGCATTTAAAAAGTGAAACCGGAGTTGAAATTAAATGGTTAATCTTAATAACCAGTGCCGTGTTCTACCAAGATGTTATGAAGAAATAGAAACTTAATTAAAATCACTCTAACCATAATCACTTCTGACTCTTGAAGTAAAGAAGCATGTCATTATGGCAGTGCTCAGATGAAATTGTCAGCTTCACTGAATTCCAGCAGGATATTTTTATTTAAAAGTATGCTGACTGGAATTTTTATCAGCATAGTGCAAATTCGTAAAGCTTTTCTTAATAAAGCCATCTTTGGTCTTCTGATATCACTACTGCTTAAGGCTGTTAAGACTCAAGAGAACATCACTACTTCTTGTAAGCATGTTAGTTCTGACTTTCTTGTAAGATTTGTAGACAAGAATTATTTCAAGAAAACTGTTAAGCTTGCTTTTCACATGTTTATGTATTTTTTCCTACTGAAACCTTCAGTCAAATGTTAGAAAGCTTCAACTTCTTAATCATTCCAGGTTTAAACTGTTTTTTAAAGATTTAAAAGTACTGCAAATCTGCTTCATCCTTTTAGCAGATAAAATGGTCAGAGACCAAGTTAGTTTAGTGGGATACTTTTCCTGACCTTGGTCTGAGGCTTTTCTTTGCTTTGAAACTCTGTGATTAAGCAATATGATGAGGGAATTCAGTTTTATTACTGAAGATTTGGTTTACTGTTTTAAACTTGGGCATGATAGAACATTGAGTGCTTGCAAGCTAAGTATAACAGGTAAATGGACTGGAAAATTAGTAGTTATGAGCTTAATGCATGTTTCGATGACTGTCAAATGTTTTAATACAGCATTTGGAGGTGAGAAATGGAAAACAAATGTCCTGCTGACATCATTCCTTTGTCCTGGGTAAGTTGAGAATATCGCCATGATTAAAAGAATTAAATTGCTTCTCTGACATGCATAGCTAATCTTTACGTTTCAGCTATACAAGTAAATCTTATTGCATCGTCCGTTTATTCCAGAAGCTACAAGAATATCATGATGCTTTTGACAAAGATGAATACGTTGACATATCATCCTTAGATATTTTTTTTTTTGTAAACATTTGTTTACTCTTACCACGTGAAAAGGTTGATTAAGAGCAGCAGTGTGATAGTAGTAAGTTTTAGACAGGCACGCTTTTTCGTTGCTTTCTTTTACTCTCCAGGCTGTTTCTCTGACCACGCTGCAGTAGGTCTTATATAGTGTCATATACTGTATAACCACCGTGGTAAATTTTTCTACTGAATCACAGCAAGCAGCCTTACCCTAAAGTGTAGTTAAGACAAGCATATATTTGAAATCGCTTAGTTGGAACGTCAGCTCCTGCTGGAGTTCAGTCCCACTAGATTAACAAAGAATTGCCGTTCGACCTCTTCATTTTGATATTTTATGTGTATCATTTGGTTTGAACAGAGATTTACACTAAAATCTTAATGCAGTGCTTTTGTTTTGTTAACATTATTAAATATTAAGGAGTATTTCTGTACTTTAAGTGTGTTATGTGTTTTTCAGAATTGTATTTGCAGATTTCTTTATCATGAACCTCATTCTCTGGGGAGAAGGCTCTTCAGCAGCTATTCCCTTTGGTACTTTGGTTGCTATTTTGGCACTCTGGTTTTGCATATCTGTACCGCTGACGTTCATTGGTGCCTATTTTGGTTTTAAGAAAAACGTAAGTATTTCTGATAAATTGTTTTGTAAGTGTGAGTATACGCATACACACATATATATTTTTCACTGTATACACTAAGACCGAGGTAGCACCTAAGCAAGTTGCATTGTCAGCTCCAGTTCTGTTCAGTTACTTATAGAGCTGCATTAGGTATCTGATCCTGGGATTCCAGGACACTGGTACCCAGTTGATTGGTGGTGGTGATATTTCTCTGCAACGATTAGGGCTACATTGTATTTAATTGAGTAATTGCTCCAGATAAAGCAGTGATTTGGGCATTTTTATTTTAATTAGCATCTCTTTCATTACTAAAAAAAATTAATTGACCCAGCCAAGCATAAAGGAAAGCGGCTTATGTGTTTCTGGTTTTCTCCCATGTTTTTTTTCCTGTCTGCCCTCTGCACTGAGGATATTTTCTGATCAAATTGCTAGAGTTCTTGTGAAATCTCTTTGCATTAGTGTTCTATAAGTGATTATCACTGCTTGGCAGACATTAATTGAGATTTACTCCTAAACTGATTGATTTTACTTATTTACATGAGGGTTCTTTAAGACACTTGTGACCAAACCTTTTTAGATTATGAAACTGGTTCTTCTCTTTTAGCTTAAAAAGTGATTTACTGTGCTCCACAAACTTAAAGATCTGTAAGTTCAGATATTTTTGTGTTTTGTCCTGTACAGGACGCCAGAGTTCCAGCTCTCTGTAGCTCTCATGGAATGCCTTCAGAGAATATTTAAGTATCTTAAAAGGCACTTTTAAAGTTGATTGTAGTTATCCCATTTTTCTTAATCAGAATTCAGTTTTTTTTTCCCCTGATAACCATATTGAAATTCCAGCAAACTCCCTGCATTGTATGCAGGCAGTTCCTTTAAGAAAGGAGGATTTAAAAAACTGTAAGGCAACATGACAGCTGTCACAAATACATTAAAATCAAATTAGAAGGCAAGTACCTAGCAAGCATCTTTTGATGCTCTTGATGTAATCTTTGCGAAAGGGGAAAGTATGCATTTATCTGCCTTAAATTTTTTTCTCCCACCATGCAGATCTATGCATGCATCTTAAATTAGGATTTAATTTCCAGATAGAATCCTCTTAGTTTGTAAATTTACCCTAACACAATTCCTGGAGTAAATCGTGAAAAACAACATGCAGGCTCTTGCTTTCCCCTTTTAAAAATCCCTGTATCACCACTACCCCGAGCTGAAAAGTGAGACATCAGCTCAGACTCTGTAACAGCTCATAGACAGGTAATTGTAAAGAGGGAAGTCCAAAGTATCTGTTGCTACATTTTCAGTAAAAGCTGTACTTCAGCTTGTTTGCCTAGCAAATGTTGGTAGCTAGGCTGGTAGCGAAAGCAGATCTGTTGGTAGCTGGGTATGTGCGTGCTCAACACAAATAGTAGACTTTTGCTACCACTCATTTCCAAAAGAAAGCAAAAAGGTAGAGCTGTAGTTGGACGTTTTGTTTGTTTAGCATTTCTTGTTTTCGTTTAAAGGCTATTGAACATCCTGTTCGCACAAATCAAATTCCTCGTCAGATTCCTGAGCAATCATTCTATACAAAGCCGTTACCTGGCATTATCATGGGAGGGATTCTGCCTTTTGGATGTATCTTTATACAGTTGTTCTTTATTCTCAATAGTATTTGGTAAGTTAACCACGATCTATTTGAATTTTCTCTGTCAGAAAAGATGGTAATTTCTTTGTGAAAGTTTTTCTTCAAGATGCTTTGACTGATTTTTTTTTGGTGATGCAGGGTTACCAGGATACTGGTTCAATAAAAATTTAAAAGTTAACATCTTTTTAACATTTTGTGAGTTAGAAGATACTCAGTGCCTGTTTTGCTTGTTGAGGTGTGTAGAGAAGTGGCTGTGATATGCTTAGTAATTTACAGCTGACCTGCAACATTCGAATAGCTGTTTTTCTCGTGCTACTCCTCTGACTTCATGTGGAAGTGGTTCTGAAGCTGACATATGGCATATAAGTTGAAAGTAGTAAGTATATTAAAATGGACTTTGTTGTTGGGCTAGAAAAGCATTACTACTCTTGGGAGAAAAAAGAATCAAGAACAAATTTTGTGAAATCTTTATGAGGGCACCAGAGAGTAATTATTTTCAAAAATAAAGCACCAAAGTCCAGTACAAGTGAATTCTGATGTGAGCTCATAGCGCACTGGAAGACTAATCAACTGTGAGGGATTTGTCTTCCTTCTGGCACAATTTAGTTACTGGATCTTGTTAAACTGTTTCTGAACCTTGAACAGGTGCCTCTACTCAACGTAGACAGCTACAGCATTTGACATTTCTTGTTGTGCAGCTCTGCCCCTTTGATTGAAATGCGAGGTGAAATCCAAGTTCTGCTGAAGTCAGTGGAAGAGGTCACACTGACTTCACTGGAACTGTAATTTCACTCATTATGTCTTTTTCCCTAAAATCCCAGGCAGGAGCATGCTTTGGGCTTGATTTCTCATTCTTTTCAGACTGAGCTGCCGAGGCTGCTATTGTTCAATTAGAAAGTAAATGAGTCAATTGTACGGCCACAAAGCTGACAGTACTTCAATAGGTGAAGTACTTAAGGTGAAGATGATATTACTACATATGAAGAAATAATATTAACACAGTGTCCATTTTAATTTTTGATTTTTTTAAACCCTTTTATAGGTCTCACCAGATGTATTACATGTTTGGCTTCCTTTTTCTGGTATTCATTATTTTGGTTATTACATGTTCTGAGGCTACAATATTGCTCTGCTACTTCCATCTATGTGCAGAGGTAAGAAATATTCTTCAGTATGCATACTTGATATTGTTTTAAGAATGCAAAAATTTTAAGGCTTTCGTAATTGAAAATAAGTATTCTAGAATTCAACATAAACACCGTTACTAGATGAGATGTACTTAAACCATGTCTTTAAAAAGTGAAGCAGGTTTTTTTGGTAAAACTTGTAACAAATATTAAAACACTGCACTGAGTACTGCTAAGTCCAATATCTCATCTTTAGATTCTAACTGTGTTTTCTGAAGATGCTAAACTAATCCATTAACTTTGCTCAATCAAAGTGTAATTTGGACATGCCCAGCCTTGCAAAAAAGACTTCTCTGTCACTGGCAATAGTAGGTCTGGCTTATTTGGGTTTTTAGATTTTTGCCTATTTGATATTGATCTTCAGGTTTCTCATCTCTAATTGTGAATGGTGTAGTTAAAGCAGTATTGATTATATGTAGTTCCTTTTCCTGTAGATAGAAACTATAAAAACTCACTTTTGGATAAAGTGATAAGAGTAAAAGTTGCTCTGCACTCAGTAATAGGGTCAGTGCATGAGAGGTGTATGGAATATTACTCATACCTATTTTTTTTCCCCACCCCTTCTAGGACTATCACTGGCAGTGGCGTTCATTTCTCACTAGTGGCTTCACTGCAGTTTATTTCCTAATATATGCAATACATTATTTTTTTTCTAAACTGCAAATCACAGGAACAGCTAGCACCATTTTATATTTCGGTTATACCATGATTATGGTTTTGATCTTCTTCCTTTTCACAGGTAAGTATATTGAAACTTAATTTAAAATCTTGAATCTACCCTTAGCTTTGCCCAGTAGAATCCTTGCCAAAACTTAATCTTAATACAGGATTATAAATTTATATATGTCTTTGATTTTTTTCCTGATAGTTTTGTAGTGTTTTGCAGCTCCATGATCACAAATTTTAGTGAAAGAAATTGAGATGAGGCAAAACTACTGCTAATTTGAGATGTGGCCTATAATTAGATCTTCAAATATGGCACCTTTAAACATGATAAATACTTCTCCAGTTTTCTTCCTATGTTAGTCATGTGACAAACTCAATTTTTTAAATTAGTTGTCTTTGGAGAAGCACCTTCGAATCACACACAATCAAGTATAAAGTTACAGTGTCAATTAAGGAAAAACATTTGAAGCTTCTGTGGAATATGAGGAAGGAGGAGAGAGAAATAAAAGTTGACAGAGAATACTTTTTTTTTTCATTTGCTCTCTTCTGGAATTTCTTTACCTTCTTTCCCAATTGCATTGAAGTGGCACGGGAAGCAGATAGAATTTCTTAATGATTTTTTGATGCAGTCTTGTCAGAACATTGTCATCTTTATCGTGAGCTTTTGGAAAAGCATCTGTCTTAGGTGCTGCATTTCAATTTCCTCTTCAATAAGTGAGATGAGGTCACAAAATCTTCCTTTGTCATCTTCAGTCAGACACACATATGGTGGTGAAAATGCAGGAAGTCTCCTTTCAAACCTCTCATGCAAGCAGGCAGCAACCGCAAACTCCTCAAAAATCTTAAAAATACTAAATTCTGTTCTAGCAGAATGTAATCTGTCTTTGTGGACTTTACCCTGCAGACTAATATTTTTGAAACTGTTTTGAACGGATCGATGCTTTAAATAGTTTCAAACTCCATGTTTATGATGAAGTTTAATGGCTTTTGGTACATATTTATGTACACAGCTACTCAGGCTATATTTTGAATTCTCCTAGAACACAAATAAATGGTTTGTCATCAGAGCTTTTAATACAGCACTCTCTGTAACTATAAGTAGAATTTTCATTTCCGCTTAACATAGGAGACCAAAAAAAAAAATCTAGTGGGAAGAGAACTGGCATTTGAGAATAGTGTTCATTTTAAGTGTAACCAAATATTAATTTCAAAGACATTGCCATGTCAGTTTAGGAAATATTGAAGTTGTTTGTGCACCACAACTGAACGCAGACGATGATGAACAGAAGAAGCAAGGCCCTGCAAGGGGTTTCTTGGGTCATTGCCTGTTAAAAAGAGGGAATGGGACTTAAGTACATTATATAATCTCTTGGAAAAGTGATCAAGCTGTGTTCCAAAAGTGGTTAGTTTTATCTTCCATCCTTCTTTTTAAGTCAGTCTAATGTGTTTTGGCATTGCTTGCAGATATTTTGTAACTTACATGTCATCTCTATTTGTATTTTGTGTACTGGTTAGCAAGTCATTCTGAATGTGTAGATCAGAGATTCTGCCTCCCTTTCTCACGCTGTCTTATTTCTCACCCTGCCCCTCTCTTAGCCTTGATTTCTGATCTGGGTTTATTAAGTCTCATTGAACTAAAGAATTTAAGAGTGCGTGGTTGTTCGACTAGACATGAATGTGTACTGCGGTATGTAGATCAATTTTAACTGCAGTGCAAACTTAAAGTAGCATGAAAAAATAATTAGGCCTTACATAAGTGTAAGTTCAATTAATTTAGTTTCACTAGCTTTTCCAACAGATATTCAGCATGTCTACCTTCAATAATAAACGGTTTTGGCCAAAACCAGAATTGTGTTTACCCTGTCTCCTTTGTTCAGTCTGTTTACTTTGGATGCATGCAGTAGTTCTGGAGTGCACATATTCAAGATAAAGGAGATTTAGGCTAAATTTTCTCTACTGAGACTTGGCTTAGGGAAGGTACCCGTATAATGTCTGTCTTTTGCCCTTATTCTTTCAAGTCAGTCATGTCACATGACATCATCTAGAGGCATCAAGATGTCTCCAGTGCATCCCCCTTTTCCTATGTTCACTTTTAATTAACTAGTTGGCTGTGCAGCACCTGCCAGCAAACTTGGGGAGTCCTTTTCGGGGTAGGATCACAAGCATGCAAAGAAGAGGTGGTTTACTCTCAACCCCTTCAAATGCTTTCTGTGGTAGTCACGTGTATGTATCTCAGTGGAGATGTGAGTTAGCTATGCAACTTGAACTAAGCTTTCAGAATTGTTATGCTTTCTTTTTTTAAAATTTTCAGTTTCTGTATTGAAATAGGGGGAGAATACATGTGAAGTTAACCGAACAGTTAGAACTTTGAAGCATCATATGCTTAATGATTTTTTTAAATCTCCTTCCCACAAGATGAAATGCAAATTATTCTTTAATTTGAGCGAATAATTCTATTTCTTCATATTTAGGAATGATTTTGCCTATTTAGGTTGGTATGTGTTCAAAGACATATGTTCACTTCTTAGAGATTTACTGATGTGCTTTGAGATAAGGTTTATAGAAAAAGGTAGAGGCAGGGTAAAGGGCCAGGCAGTTCTCCAGTTTCTTAAACAAGAAAGCATATTAGCAATTTAGCAAAAACTACTCCTAAAGGCAACTGACTTCCTGTGTCAGGATGATAAAGAAGCTAAAAAGAGAAAATGGTAATTGTTGTATCAAAACTGTTCTGCTGCCGCTTACTCATCTGTTAAAAATTGTCAGTATCAGGAAGGGTTTTGATGGTGCCCTGCTGCTATGTCAGTGTAACACATGCTTCAGGCACTTGCATCCATACTGCATTCCAGGTCATTGATCAGACTCAGCAGGCAAAATACCGGGAGCTACATGACAAATCTTTGATTCACAGCTGGGACCACAACTACGTATCATAGTAAATGAGTCACTTAAACATCAGTAGCTTAGCAAGCGTGAAGGAAAAAAAAAAAAAAATTACTGTGATATCATTCATGGTTCCTTCCAAGCTTGTAGAGTGAATGAGTTAGCACACAACTTTTGTTGTGCCTCTTATCGGATCTAAAATAAAGATGATTTTTTTTTCCTTTAAAGAACTTACTCGGCTCTTGCGTAAGCTAAGGCTATGATTTTTAGAAGAGGTACTTGAGCGAAAATCAGATAATCTTCAGAGCTTTTTTCCTGTCCTAGTTTTTGTGGGAAACCAAGGTTCCTGTAACAGTTGTTCTGAGCTGCTGTTATGTCCGTTATCGTTCTGACTGAGGCTGTGTTCTGAAGTAACGCAGTTAGGTTAACGAAGCCCAACTATATTAACTGCTTCGCATTCAAAAGAAACATTTTTGTTTAAAACTTCTGTTGGAGTTTCACAAAGAGAAGGGATGCAGCTATTTTTTAGGTTATCAGGGAAAAAGTCTTCATCCTTAAATTTCATTTCAAGTTTGCTTACAGCTTTTGACTGCCTTAAGTTTTTCAGAAGTGTTTGTTTTTAAGCTATGTAACACGTTTTCAATAGGAAGTGCAAGTTGCATAGTAACTATGCTATGGTTTGAAATTCGTATTAACTTGATATTCGCAGAAATAAAGGTAGTACTCTAATTTTCCAACACCATAAAGTATAGCTAAGACATGCAAACTCCTTTTGATGCTGGCAATCAAATTGGTTTATTAAATATAATAACAATATTCTGACCAATCGAGCAGATCAGGTAAAGTGTGTGTGTCTAGTCACTGAAGAGGGACAAAATGGAGCAATGTGAAGGGAGTTGCTCTGGGGAATAATGAAACAACAAAGAACAAATATGTAGAAAGAGAAATAACAGTCAAACATCTTAAAAAGAGAGTCTTCCATCTGATCAGCTCTGTGATTGTGAAAATAATGAGATACTTTGTATAGTAGTTGATGATGCCTGTAAAGACCAGGTACTGTCTCTACCTTTCCGTTTTATCTGATGGATATACTGAAGACTAAAGATAGCAGATTGCGTATACATACGTCCTGATTTATAAGCTAGAGATAGAAATTGATGTTTCCTGTGTCAGTTTTGCTCATGTGTAACTTCTGTTTTCTTTTTTTCTTTTTTTTTTTTTTAGGGACAATTGGATTCTTTGCATGCTTTTGGTTTGTAACCAAAATATACAGCGTGGTGAAAGTTGACTGAAACCAATGTAAAGAATTAACACAGAAGAGGTTTAATTTTCATTAACATAACTTAAAGACCTGGTCTAGTTGATGAACTTGAGCTTTATCAGAAGTATTGGCTTCCTATTCTTTGAGAATGATACTGAATATGCAGCTGCCCCAAACACTTTTTCCACTAACACGTTTGTATTGTGACTTAACAACCTGTTTTCATTCAGATCTTAAGGAAGATCAGAGTTACGATATTTATGCATTTGTAAATACAACTATACTTTAAAAGAAATGTTAAATTCTAATGGAGAATAGAAGTGGCTGTATTACACAACTTAATGATACTTCTGATCAAAGTACAACTGTAAATAGGTTTTTCTAGCTTGGTAGGTGGGATGAATTATTTTTCTTTGAGGGAAATGAGAACTTTTTATTATGCTAACTTTGAAGGATGACTCTTAAGAAGTGTTGCTTTTAGTTTGGATGTGATTTTTATTTTTACTGGTGTTAGGTCCATAAATATTCTGATTTCTGTGACTTCATTAGTTTCAGTGTTCTTGGCCTTTTAAACTATGTGCCTCTGAGTCCTTGAATTTATAAATTCACAATCTAATAAATATTGTTAAAATGTCTTCAGTGGCTCATTACATATTATAAATTCATAAAAATATGTAAATACAATTATATTGAAGACATGCTTAAAGATTGCATAGATAATTTTATGGCATTTTCTATCGTTTAATGTATATTGACACACCCTTAGATCTGCAAGAAATGTTGTTTATGCTACATGGCTATAACACAGAAATGTGATTGTGGCGCATGAGAATTAAATTATACACACATTTAACAAAACTGCTCTGCAGCATTAATCCAGTCCTTAACCCAGACATGTTTTTGGAGATTGCTATGGAGTTGTCAGTATGTTGAGAAGATCCTATAACACAAGTCAGCATTCTCTGCTGATCTTGCTTTTAAAAGATCTCGATGATGCATATTCTATATGGCAACTATTACTGATTGTACTTAATGTAGGTTAAAAAATAAAAGACAATTACTATTTTTGCCTTATATTAAAAGACTACTGTCGATTTTGGATGACTAGCATTAAATCTATATTTGCCTTTTTTGAAAATGGAGTATTTTGTTCATATCTTGTTTGGTAATTTTAGACTCGTAACACAATTTGGCTTTTGGCATGTTTTCACAAGCCTGATAAAATTTTATTTAACATTAACCTTCATGTACCAATTGCCATTCATAAGGTTGGGGTTTTTTATTCTTATCAGTTTACTTTTCTAAAAGACCTTAACCTAATGATGCTTGAATACTGAACCCAATAAAAATATCTTTGGTTAAGGTAACTTGTCATTATTAACCTCCTAAAAGTTGGCATGTATAAAGGCTTCAGGTGCCGTTTCCTCAATTGCTGTGCTCCACAACCCCTCCCAGATGAACCACACCGCTCTCGTGCTCTGCCTGTCGCCAACCACAGCTCTGTTCAAGTGTTGTGGACAGGTTTGTTCTTGTGCCCCTCCCCACATGCAGCCACTAAGAAGTGCTGATTTCAGATAAATCTTCCATGTTTTACGTTCAAAACAGGAAAAGGGTGAGTGGGGTAAGCGTTTGTTCTTTACTAATGCAGGGAGCTGTGGTGTGATTCTTGATGTAAATTTTAAAAAGTATAAAATTGAATATTCTTAATATCCTTGGTTTTGTGATCATCTACTGTATGTACTGCTCAAAATCATCAATAGCTATTACACAAATGGGAATGTTTGGTTTGAGAAACATGCATCAGTTGTGTGTTACTGAAATACGAATATCATAGGTGCTCAAGAATTTCAATGTAGTGATATGAAGACAGATTTCTGTGATGTATTTACAACTGTTGTTTAAAAATCAGATTAATAGAAGTGAGATGTAGCCATTGTGGTATGCATATGGGTTTGAAGCTGATGGGTGTATTTCCCTTTTTCCCTAGAGTCTAGTTGACAAGTCATGGCAGTTTCTCAAGTATCTTATTTTCACCTTTAAAGGCAGTTTGTGAAGTGTGTCATTATCTTCTTGAATCTAAATCTAATGCATACACATTTTTTCAAGCAGCCTTATAATAATTGCAGCTGTTTTGGAATTTGAAATGGTTAAGTTTCAGCGTGCAGTACTTGAGACAATCCAGAGAGTTTAAGACACCACAGATTTTACAGAAGAGCTATTCTAAAGTTGTCTCCTCCCTTGAAACCCATTTTTACCTCGGGTAACTTAGAAAGTTTTTCTACCATTTAAGCTTCTGATGTGTGTTAGGGCATCCAGATGTTCTACCATGTACCATATCTGTTCTTCAGACCTCTTGGGAGGCCTAAGCTTTTGTCTAAACTTTCAAAATACTGATCTCTTACAAAATCTCTGCGTTTACATCCCTTTTTTCCTTTCAGTTACTGTTCCTCCAAAAACTCCTCTCACTTCCCACCTCTTGCTTCTGGAGCTTATCATGACTAAGTATTTTCTTACAGGAAAGAAGACTACTTGTGCAGAGATGTTCTACTCTTCTCAGTTTCCTACAGTTGACCTCTAATTTCATTTTTTTTATTCTCAATATCCCGCTGTTTCTCCTTATGCCAGACAGTTAATAGTGATCTACTTCTTTATGTATCTCCATAAAGCCGACTCCTGAAATATTTCTCCTATTACTTCATATATTGACTTTGGGTACATGTGTGTACACAAGTGTATGACACTTCAGACCAACGCATGAATCTTTAGGGACCACCGAGAGACTTAATTTGTCAGTTGATTATTCTATAGCTGCCGTCGTGCATTTTCTTCCTTCTTATTTGAAACGTCTGGAACTCACTGTTGATGAGATGACAGTGGTTAACTGCTTGTAAATCAGATATGCCAGAAGATCACAAGTGAAACCTGTCGCGTTTGGGTGATGGCACGTTCTTGCTGTTTCTCAGGATTCCAGCACTTTCGATGCAAATGCAGTTTAAGTTCTTCCTTCCCTCAGAGGTATTTCAGCATCACCTGCTGGGCACAACACGTATAAACTTACGCAGTGTGAGAGCAGAGTTAAGGGTGTGATAGGAAGAGTTACCAAAGCACACTACTGGGGGCGTTTATCCTTAACATATGTACGCTAGTTTCAAAGTTTCTGGAAGTAGGCAGCCAAAAAAACAAGGTGAAGAACAATAACAGTAATAATGAAAACAATTTGTCTGTGAAAGTGTTAAAAATGCTTCTCCTGCATCCAGCACGGGCACATGGCTAGCAAGGGTCCCTCAGAATGAACTGCAGTTTCAGATATTCAGGTTCCTGTTCTCATTCCTTCAAACAGTTTTTCTAAGTTCACTAAAAAAGGGGTGCTTCAGAGGGAGCCCTGCAGTGTCCCGAAAGGCTGCCCAGGCTGGGCGGTGAGATGGGCTGAAGGCTGTTTCCCAGCTTCGTACTTTCAATAGCGTCAAGTCCTTGTGTTTGAACAGTTCAGCACAACCGTTGTTTTGCTGCTGCTGGTGCAAGATTTGCTTTGGCTTGGGTTTTTGGGGGTTTTTTGTTTGTTGGGAGGGTGGAGTGTTCGGGTTGTTTTGTTTTCGTTTTCTTTGATCCTGTCAAGTCAAGAAAACAGCAGCTTTATTTTTCATTTTCTTCTCTGTTTTGGGGAAATTGCTAAGATAGAGAAAACATTCTTCCTGATCTATTTCCCAACTTTCCATGACTATCTTTTGATTTGTTCACAATTACCTATACAGTTGAGGTATGTAAAATCATAGAATAAATGATTCTGACTCAGCTATGAAGAAGTGCACGTGGTGACCTCCCATCAGGGCAGGCACACGTGCAGTGCGGCTGCTGCTTCCCCTCGGCGTTGCTGAAGATGAGCAAGCTTCTTGTTTGCTGTAGGATGGTGAAGCCAGGTGGGCCACGTTCTGCTCCCGCCTGTTGTGTGCACTGGGAATGAGTCGCTCTGAGATACAGCTGAGGAGGCCAGTGGGCTGGTGGTAGGTTCTGTTCTCTCCCTCTGTGGCCCAAGGATACAAGAAGCAGCAGGGTTGGAACATTTCTCCAGCCTTGCTTAGCAGCTACAAAAAAGAGCAATTGGAAGGTCAGACCTGTTTCCTGCTTTTTTTCTGCAGGCTCCCACATAACCACTCTTCCTTCCTTTGGTAACGTCTCATCTCTGCCCATTGCGGCAAGGCTAGCGAGACAGCTGAGAAGAAACAGATGTTTTCCATGTCAGCCTTTTCACGCAATTACGCACATTCTCCCGCTGCATGATGTTGGGTTGGTGTAGCCCTGAGGCAGGTGGAGGACAAGGCAAAGGGAAGCAACGGATGGCCTTAAATTTACTATTTATCCCAGAAAGCAGGGTGACCGTAGTAACTTGGGACAAAAATTGCAGAGAGGGAGAAAGAGGCTTCCTTCCCTTTGAGAAGGACGATATCCAGACCCAGGAGGGCAAAGCTGGAACAAAGAATTGATTAATGTACCAGGAAAATGCTTGTTTATTAAACTCGTCTTTTCTGTCAGTCTGTTACCAGTTCCAAGCTTGCTTTTTTTTTTTTTTTTGGTGAAGAAACGTCTTAGATCCAGAGCAGAATTTCTGAAGAGAGCAAGACAGGCAGACAAATTTAGGCAGATTAGGAACATGACTCTAAATCCCCAGAGATTTTCTTGACCAGTGGATTATTTTAGGGTTAATATGTCTATCTATCTGTCTTCTGAAACAGCTTTAATGTCAGAGGTTTGTGAAGGCCGTTGCTGCACAGAATGGGACAGAACTTGCAATCTCGGTGCTCTGTTGGACAGGACGCTGTCTCCTGTCCCACTCATCCCTGACAATTCAGAGGATTGCTGGTAAAATAACCTAAGCAAGCCATCTCCCATGTAATTTGATGCAGAACTAAACACTTACGCATGCTGTAAGACAAGTCCTGGTGCACAACGTCCAAACAAACAAATTTCCAGCAGGAGCCCCTACAGACAGAGACAGTGCGATGGACTGTCTCTGTGCAGGACTGGAAAGGGAAAATTGTAGCCTTGGAGTCCTCAATGAAATCACTGCCAAAGAAAAAGGAGATAAATAGGAAATAGAAATTGCATTAAAAAATTCTAAAAGTTCTAGGGCTGCAAATAGATGACAGCAAAGACAAAGACTCCCTCTTGCACTTTTTTTTAATTAACTTTGAATCTCACAGCCTGAGCAAACAGAGAGAAAGCTGCAACATTACTTGTTCATATATAGTATATAGAAATCCATCTCAGTCAGGGCTAGTCGCGCCAAAAGATGCACGTAGAAGACCAAATAAATATGCTCTTTGAAAGTTTACAGGAGTCAATAAAAGAGCTCATTTTACTGCAGTTAAGCTCCAAAGGAAAATCTGAGTTGGCTGGAATGAAAGGGAAAAGGAACTGGGATAATTTCAAAACTTAAATCTTAAGTTTAAACTGTATTAAAATAATTTTATTGGTGCAAAGGATTTATTGAATGTTTTTGTTGAGTTTTGGTAAATTTATTTGGAATATCAAGGAATCATGCATTTCTGGAAAGTCGTGATGCAGAAGCTGATGTTATAGAAGTTCGTTCTTGTTAATGGGATCAAAACCATAGGACAGAGCGTAAGAA